TTGGGCATGCACAGGATGAGTCACATCATTTGAAACTTAGCCCTGATTGGAGAAATTGGAAGTGTTACAACTGACCCACGTTACAACTATCCCCGGTCTCCCCTACACAAAACAATTGCAGTGATTTTAAAGTATCATAAAGCACTCATACTACCTGACAGATTCCTGGTTGTTTATGGGGATCTGCAGGGCTCTATGGTAGGACTGATTGAACCTCTTTACATCATGCATGCTTCTCTTTGCCAACATTATTACTATACTATATTATAGAAGAAAAAAAACCAAACCAGATACCCAAGAGTAGAATGGGAGGCAGACCCCTCAGCTCTCAGGTCCCTCTCCTATGGAGCCAGCTCCCAATTTGGCTTTAGAAGACAGAGAGCCTTTCTACTTTTATACTCAACTATTGTATTCTCATTTACTTCATAAATTTTCACTGCTGCTGCTCCCAGTATGGGTGTCTGCTTCCACACAGACGGGTGGGGCTGGGGGGGTGGGCTTTTACATAGCTGCACTCAAGAGACCAATTGTCTCTGAATGCATCCAGTAAATCAAAGTGATTAGATGTGTGGAATGAAAAACAGCAGGGCTGACCTCTCTTTGTCTCAGACACAAGCAATAAGCTGTAAGTAAGTGCAGTGTGTCTTTGAAGCTTCTTATCAGAACCTTTCTGACAGTTTAGTCAATGAAAATCAAAAGAGCTTGAGATCAGGCGTTCGTATTGTGGTGGCTTGGATAGTTGCACACTCTAGTGGGAAACAAAGAAACAACCATTAATTCTTTAGAAAGTAAAGGAGGCCATGGCTCTTTTTAACACATTTAAGTTTATATCTACTTGGCCCACTTTTCAATTCAATTCAGTTCAATTGCAGTTATTTATATAGCGCCAAATCACAACAACAGTCGCCTCAAACCGCTTTATATTGCTCAGTAGATCGTACAATAATACATACAGAGAAAAACCCATCAATCATATGACCCCTTATGAGCAAGCACTTTGGCGACATTGGGAAGGAAAAACTCAGCAGAACCAGGTTCAGGGAGGGGCGGGGCCATCTGCTTTGACCAGTTAGGGTGAGAGAAGGAAAACAGGATAAAGACATGCTGTGGAAGAGAGACAGAGATTAATAACAAGTACGATTCAATGCAGAGAGGTCTATTAACACATAGTGAGTGAGAAAGGTGACTGGAAAGGAAAAACTCAATGCATCATGGGAATCCCCCGGCAGCCTAC